GGCAACAACTTAGACGTGTTGGTCACTCGTACCCCAAAGATTAACTGGCTGATACACGATTCATGGGTTGATAGGTATGTGTGCATATAATGGAGTCCATATAATGACTTACTATGTTTGACATACTTTTCATAACCGCTAACAATCTCTTTATTTTGTAGGTTAAGTTGGACTGGACTTCTACCCTTGGCACGGCTGGTTGAGGGTACATTGGATGAGTGGATTGATGGTCCGGACTTAGATGAGGCAGGTGAACCATTACAGTTACACAAGAGGCAAGTGAAACATTTCTCTTACGACAAGTCACTCCTTACCTGCTTAGTAGATAGATGGAGACCAGAGACACATACGTTTCACTTTCCCTGGGAAGAGATGGCGCCTACTTTACAGGATGTGTCTTACTTGTTGGGATTACCTCTGGCCGGTGCTGCCATAGGTCCCTTAGAGGCAGAATCTGGGTGGCAAGCAGTGATGCAGACCCGTTTTTTGGCTGCGGTCCCGACTGCTAGGGCCATAGACAATGATCCTCATGGACCTCTTTTTAGATGGTTGAGCCAGTTTCAGGTAACCATCACGGCCACTTAAACAAATGTTGTTTTTTAGTTGTCTGATGTTCATACAATTATTACGTTTCTATGTAGATTGTCTTGTTAGGACATCCCGACGTTTAGTTGTCGGAGGCACAGATTGACCGGTCCCTAGAGGCATATATTCTTTGGCTGTTCGGCAAAACAATGTTTACGGAGAACCACGTGACCACTGTCGATGCACGACTCATCGGTATTGCACAAGAGATAGCTGACTCACGTTGCCCTGCGGATATTCTACAAAGGAGTTTTGGTTCTGCTGTGTTAGCGGCTACGTATAGAGGCCTGTGCAAAGCTTGCTTGTTGAAGTCTAGAAAATCTAGTCTTGTTGGATGTCCATTATTGTTGCAGCTCTGGTCATATGAGAGATTCCCTATTGGACGACCCTATGTCTACGTTGATAAACTTTTTGGTTTGGAGGACTTAGCTGGGACTTATGTGCCTGCTATCGGCGACTTACCTACTATGGGATCTGTTTGGACATGGCGAGAGGTACTTTTATATTAAGTAACAATTAATTCAATTATTTCTTGCCATTCAATAGTATTACTAATGCTTATTTGTTGTCATGCACAGAGACAGTTTGCGCATACTCAGGTTAGGGGATGCTACCCGTCCTTCATGGCGCAGTTTGATAGTTTGCACGAGGATCAAGTTATTTGGGAGCCATACTCGCCTCAGGCTATATCATCGAGGTACCTAGTTGGGATTTCTGGATTGTGCACTAGAGATCGGCACTTTTGGATGACCAAGGCCAAGTTGGTGTTCGACGTGACGGTAGAGGAGATGTCTCTTCATAGGGTAATGAGACAGTTCGGTCTATATCAACAGCCTGAGATTCCAGATATTCCACACTTGCCAGACCACGTGCACAAGTAAGTACTAATACTATTTTAGTTGGTAGCTCTGCATTCATAATATACCTAATCATGTATTGTGCATGTCAATCTCAGGGACAGTCGCCTAGGAGGAAACAAGTCCATGGCTTATTGGCTTCAGAGCATGACCCCTTACGTTGACGAATGGACTACCGTTGCGACAAATATCTGGGGTGAGGTTCGACCCTTTAACTGGGAAATGTTCGGGTTGTATCTGCAGCGTTACCGACATACAACGAGGATCTACTTGGTTCCATCAGCTGCTCCTGATCAGATCGAAGCCCCTCTCACCAGCGATATGTACCCAACTGCCTCTGTTGTGGGAACCAGACACCACGCGGCAAATGCCTTGGTTCTCATATATTAAGTCTTTTGTTAATCTGGATATATTCGCTTGGTTGTCTATTCGTGGTGTCTATCATACAATGAGGATATAATTGGTTAACTCTTTGTGTACAGGGTGACTTGACACTACAGGCGCGAGAGGAGGTTTCCGCTTTAATGCGGCGCTTTCAGATGGGAGAAACTATCCCACCGCGAGAGGGCGTCTCATGGTTGAGGCGTCTTGATGACAAGCTACGCGGGATTTACGCAGCTGTTACGTGTAGACGGACTTCGGATGTTGCACTTCCTCCTCCAGCACATCGTCCGCCACGTCCCTCTGCACAGCATTCAGAACCACGACCCTCTATGCACCGTTCAGAACCACGACCCTCTGTGCACCGTGCAGAACCTCATCCTTCACAGCCAGGGAGATCTTCCTGGCATGAGCCACCTCCTTCACAGCCAGGGAGCTCTTTCTGGCATGAGCCATCTCCTTCACAGCCAGGGAGCTCTTCCTGGCATGAGCCATCTCCTTCACAGTCAGGGAGCTCTTCCTGGCATGAGCCACCTCCTTTACAGCTAGGGAGCGCTTACTGGCATCAGCAGATGAATCTAGGTAACACTACTCACTACATTCTTTTGAACAGTGTAGTAATCGTTCTTGCATTCTCAGCAGTCACTGATGCTTACTGGTGGTGCTTCGTTCATGCATTTGTATCAATTTTACTCTACCGCAGGCGGCAACCAGTCGCAACCGTTCATGCATTCAGAGCAGTCACCGATCCTTAGTGGTGGTGCTTCGTACTTTGAGGGCGACCGCGAGGATGATGACCAAACTACAAACATTTATGGCTTCTCGCAGACAGTGTTTCACACTCCACCACCACCACCGACGCAGGAGACACAGACCGTGACATACGAGGTTAACTATGGTCGTGGTTATCGTGAGCCTCGTCCACCGCCTCAGCGCTTATCGCCTTCCGGTCCTCGCCCGAGGAAGACCCAGACTCGTCATCGTCCCCCGCAGTGATATGCTTATCTATCTATGTATGACTCATTATCTATATTAGTTTCAGACTATTCGCAACTGTGTGTCAGTATTTATGTATGAGACATGCTTCATGTATGTGTTACCATCGCACTTGCTTCTATGTGATCAGAAGACATATATTATTTTATGTATGCGAGAGACATATTACTATTAATTCGCATTCTTATTCCAGTTACATTTCCAAATAGACTACAACCGATAATTAAGATACAAGTACATCTGAATTAAACGGTGGGGCTGAACTTGTGCAATACATCTTACATACTACAAAATGAAATTCAGATAGAATATAATGCCCTACAATAATACAATACAAACTAATAATGCAAATACATCTGAATGAAACGGTACAACTGGAATACATCTTACATACTACATGAAGTCATCATCGTCATCCTCCGTTGATGCAGCCCTCTTGCCCTTCGACGATGCGCTCCTCTTGCCTTTCGTCGATGCAGAACTCTTGCCCTTGGTCGATACAGAACTCTTGCCCTTCGAGGATGCAGAACTCTTTCCTTTGGACGATGCAGAACTCTTGCCCTTCGACGATGCAGAACCCGGAAGCGGCGGCATGAAGATATCATCGTCGTCCTCGCTCTCCTCAGTCCATAAAAATGGATGCTTTTCTGTAGTCCTTCTGAAAGTTTCACTCTTCGGCTCCACCACCTTCTTCCACCTTTCATGCAACCTAAGAAGTTCTTGACGTACCTCCTCATAGGTCCTTTTAGGCCATCCAGACCTACGTAATTGGTGAGCCAACTCATTCATTATGGTGTCACTACCGGTGAGTTCGTTCCATGGAACTATCCTATTGTCCATCCTGAAATCGGTAGCTAGACTCAGCAGAGTGCTTCTCATCTCAGGGTGAAAATTACGATCGAATGGATAATGGGACATCTCGACTACACTACACTGGAATGCTTATCCACCTCCGCCTGAAGGGGGTTTTATAGATACAGAGGAGAAAATGGCGGGAAAGAATAACTGCGGTATGGCGGGAAAGGGTTGGCGGGAAGGGATTGGCGGGAAACGGGTGGCGGGAAGGGGTTGGCGGGAAACGGGTGGCGGGAAAGGGTGGGCGGGAAACAGGTGGCGAGAAAATACATTTCAGCATGAGCCATGCAACTTCAGCCTAGGGTTGACCAAAAAGTGACTTTTCGGCCTAGACTTGACAAAAAGTCTATTTCGGCCTAGAGTTAACCAAAAAGTGTCTTTTCGGCCAGGAGATGGCCGAAAAGTATACTTCGGCCTAAGTGTGGCCGAAAAGTAGTACTTCGGCCTAACTGTGGCCGAAAAGTACTACTTCGGCTAAAAGATGGAACGGGCTACTAGTTTTGGTTTTTTTACATTATGTTCTATACTTTCTGAAATTGCTAAAAAAATAACAGTTTTAAAAAAAAATCATGACTTGGCCACTCCAAAAAGTCAGCGAGTCCTCTCCGGGGAGGGGCACGAAGCAGAGCAGAGCAGCGCGGCCGGCTGTTGCTGTTTCTTTTGGCGCGAGCGCACCACGCGGGCGCTCTCTTTCGCGCCAGCGAATTTCCCGAGGGGCCGAGCGGACCCGATGCCAACAATCCTCTGGAATCCGATCCTCGGGAATCTCAGCGCCACGATCCTGAGGACCGGAATCCCGTGAAAACCCCCTCCAATGAACCCAAAGCCGGCCTGAATTCTTTCTTTCTTCCTCTACCCATCTGGCCGTCGGAGACTCGGAGGCCGGCCCTCTCTCCCCTTCCTCCTGCTCCGCCGCCGCCGCCCCCACCTCCCCGCCAGCGGCCCTCCCCCACAAGCTGCTCCTCGTCGCCCGACCACCATCCTCGCACCGCTCCACCTCACAACCGTCGGGTCGGCCCGTGCTCCACCGCCGACCCGCCGCCTCCTCCTCCTCCACCTGACCAGGTCGCCGTCCGCCGCCCACTCCCTCCAGATCCGCCGCTCGCCTCCTCCGGATCCAAGGGCCGCTCCACCCGTCTCCAGGATACCAGCGACCCACCCGCCTGCCCACCCTCCGTATCCAATTCAACAGTGACTGAGGGTAAGCTGCGATTCTCTGGAAATTCAGCAGCGAGGTCTACTTCTGCACTTAACCATCTGGGTTTGCTCTAGTGTTAAGCCGCTCGCGCTTGTTTGTAGCCTGCTGATTCGGGCGGCGGCGGCAAGATGAGGCTTCTGCGGGTGGCCACCTGCAACCTCAACCAGTGGGCCATGGACTTCGACACCAACCTCCGCAACGTCAAGGAGTCCATCTCCCGGGCCAAGGCCGCCGGCGCCGTCGTCCGCATCGGCCCCGAGCTCGAGCTCACCGGATACGGCTGCGAGGACCATTTCCTCGAGCAGGACACCACCGCGCACGCGTGAGTGCTCCTTCTCCATGTAACCTACTTACTGATGATGATGAGCTGACGAACCTGTGAGTTGTGCAAAACCTGTACCGCTGTCGTAGCAGTGCTAAGAACCTGAATGAACTGCTAAATGTTAAGTCGTACTGTTTATCACAAAATACGGCTAAGAAAGTTATGGTTCTCCACTGCTAGTTATTAACTCAACCTATGTATGGAAATCACTTGTAAATTGTAATTGAAGTGGTTGGAGTTCTTTAAGGTATTTATTTTCTCCTGTGAACAGTAATTTCATTAATCTGTTTAGCATCTTTTATTGTGTCATGCAAACTTTACTGTATGCATACGGAGCTTGAATTTGTATGTCAACCCTTTGAGTGCCCATTGGGCTACAATTGGTAATCCTAAATTGTACTCCCTCCGTCCCAAAATAAGTGTCACTAATTCAGTACAACTTTGTACTAAATCAACGACACTTATTTTGGTGGAAGAAGTAATGAACAATAACTAATCCCTGGTAATGACATTCTGCCTAGGGTTTCACATTTCTATGAAATACTTGCAAGCTTTAGTTATACTCTCTGTTAATTGCTCTTCTGTATCAACAACCTGCAGATGGGAGTGCCTGAAGGACATTTTGTCTGGTGACTATACAGATGACATCTTGTGCAGCATAGGAATGCCTATTATTTTCAAGAGTGTGCGGTACAACTGCCAGGTTTTCTGCCTAAATCGCAAGATAATTATGATTCGGCCAAAGATGTCCCTTGCAAATGATGGGAACTATCGTGAATTTCGATGGTTTTCTGCTTGGACATATAAAGATGAACTTGTCGATTTTCAACTCCCTATTGATGTCTCAGAGGTTATAGACCAGGAAACTGTACCTTTTGGTTATGGTTATCTGCAGTTTCTCGACGTGTAAGTACTAATGCTTAAATTGGTTTTTTATGATTGTGAACTTGTGATTTCAGGCTGATACTGTCTTGGCTAGCATACTGGATAGAGCAAACACTAATACTGTCATTTCCAACTAACATTTTCTGAATCAAGCTGGATATAAAAAAGGAAATATTCATTGTCTTGGTGTTCTTCCAAATTACAATTCATCATGTGCTTCTAATTTCGAGTCCCTATCTAACTGCTACTCTGTGAGACTATATATCTTACGATGGCCTGTGGTGACTTCATGTTAAATCAGGTCACCCCTGTCTACAAACTAGCTTAGACATTTGATCCTCACCATAGGGAAATATGTACAGCGCAACTACAATTTATTTCATACATGCATGAATTTTTAAAGTCTTGATGAAGAAATTGTCCACGTATGTTACATATATCGATGTAAGTGTCTAGGATGTTCTAATTTTGTTAACCATTAATTGTAGTCCTCTAGGATCATTTTGAGCAAATATCATCCTTGCCTTGCCTTTTCCTGCCTCTTTACGATATTCAGAATGCATATCTAGTACTTGACACTTAGCTAGTCCCATTACCTAATGTAAATGTAAATGCACAAATCCTCTAAAAAATGTTAATGTGCTATTCTTCTAAAGAAAATGTAAATGTGCTATAACATGTTTATGATTTTAGCATATATGCTCAAATTGCTCTTTGCTAATATGTTTCATTTTACTACGTATTCTTAATTAGTAATTGTATATGGTATGTGATTGATGATCTTGCATTTGTTGATGATATTGGACTGCTTAATTAATTTGGTTATATTATAGCTTTTCATGTTAGTTACTAATTTTCAGATCTTTGGCCGCCGAAACCTGTGAAGAGCTATTTACTGCAAATGCTCCTCGGATTGATCTAGCATTCAGTGGCGTTGAGGTCTTCATGAATGCAAGTGGAAGCCATCATCAGTTAAGGAAGCTCAACCTTCGGATTGATTCCATGAGAGACGCAACCCGTTTATGTGGTGGTGTATACATGTATGCTAATCACCAGGGTTGTGATGGTGGCCGCCTTTATTATGGTATGCTAATATGTCAGTGTTTTCTCTATGTTTTTCTTAGCATTATCCTATATCTTTGGAACTTGAAAACTCCATACCACTTAATTATTAGTTATAGTCCGACGTTTAGGTCTCCTGTTATTCTTTCCAACATTGAGGATGCATTGGATCGTGGTTCACTTTGAAGGAAGTGCGTGCGATTGGAATTTCTCAAATGTTTGTGTGACATAACCTTTGTATTTGGATATACCCAACACATGATCACTGACAGGTGGTAACAATATTGGTATTTTGCAAAAACTGAAGCTTGAGTGGTATTTCAGTGTCTACTGAATTAACACTATTAACACTACATGGTGATTTTTTTTCCTGTTTCGTTGGTCAAGTTGCAGTGATGATATATAGTGCTTTTGGTTCTATTGTTTTTGACTCCCATGTATCGTAGCCCTGCATTCAATTTAGTACTAGCTTTCTTTTTCAAGACTAAACAAAAGACATGGGCACCATCTAAATAGAGGGCCAGTAAGCAAAGTACACATGCTAGAGAAAATGCCTTAAGCGATGCAACCATCACTAGCATACCCAGATTGTTAATCCAGCAGTAGTTATGTGTAAAGTTAGTTTTACACATTCATGAGTCGTCTTTATCAGAGTTGTATTATTTGATTCATTTGTTCTAAGTTATCCCAAATGTTCTCACTAGATGGCTGCTGCTGCATTGCGGTGAATGGGGATGTGGTTGCCCAGGGATCACAATTCTCATTGAAGGATGTTGAAGTGTTGGATGCTTTGATAGATCTGGATGCTGTAAGTTCTAGCTCATTTGGATCTTAGTTGCAGTCCTATAATGCTGTCAGTGATTCATATTCTTCTTTGAGTTAAAGGATTTCCATAACTGAAGGCTCTTGAATTAGTATTAGTGGAAGTATGAAAACATGATTTGCACTTCACATTAGGGTAATCCAGTTACACTCACAGAGACAAACAATTTCTGCTCAATTCTGTATTTATTTTTGCTCACTTTCTTTGTTTTCGCCTGGAAGAATATTTGGCAACAGTCGTTGCATCATTATATGTTGTTCAGCAGTTACTGGTATCTCCACTATTGCATCATTATATGTTGTTCAGCAGTTACTGGTATCTCCACTATTGTTAATCTTATTCTTGTGTTATTTTTCAGTTGAATTATCTAAGGTCATAAGCTTTTGGTTCTTTTCTCATATTTGTTAAAAGTAACTTTTCTAGCTCGTAAATTTCTAGTTCTATTAGATAATGATTTATCTTTGACATAATTATATGGATCAAACTTTTGCATAACTGGACATTCTTTTGTTGAACCAGGTATCAAGTTATCGAGCATGTGTTTCTAGTTTTAGGGAGCAAGCAAGTCATGTAACAAAAGTACCTTGTGTTAAGGTACAATATAAGCTTTGCCAAACATTTCGTGATGGAATGATCCCAACTGATCCAATTGAGGTTAGTTTCTGTTTCTAGATTTGATATATTTCATTATTTCTGGAACGCTGCAGTATAGAATATTTTACTTTTTATAACCGTGTCCGAAAGAGATAGAATTGTTTTAGAACCTATCGTATTGTAGGATCACGATACTATGAGATTTTTATTTTCAAGTGATATTTATTTCGTGTATTATCTTGAAAAACCTGTGATGAATTATCTAACACAATTTTTACTAGCACCACTGGAACGTTTTTAGTGAATGCAAATTGTGATTGTAATTCCCAATGAAAACTACAGCCCAGCTTGACAAGTCACAGTTAGTAACCCATTTTTATCACTCTGAAGGTTATGTATCACTGTCCTGAGGAGGAGATTGCATTTGGACCTAGTTGCTGGCTGTGGGATTATCTTCGCAGAAGTCGAGCATCTGGATTTTTGCTTCCACTTTCTGGTGGTGCGGATAGTTCGTCCGTTGCAGCAATTGTTGGCTGCATGTGCCAGCTTGTCATAAAAGGTCAGGTCAAAAGTCTTAATTTTCCTCCATTAGCATAGTATATTTTATAAAATGTCTTTAGAGATGTACTCTACTTGCCAAATTATAGTGCATATTAGCAACAACTCACATTCCAAGGATGAGTTAAAACAGATTGTTTATGCTTCATGCATTGCTCATGGAGTCTCTGGGTCATAAATTTGGCAAGGAGGGAGTAGGTTACAGAACGCAGTTAAATAGAGTTATCTGCACACTGGATTTGCAACCATATGTGCTTAGAAAAGAAATAGGAGGAACTACATCCCCATCGGTGCAACTATCAGCACTGATCCTCTGTACATATTCTTAGCTGTAGTATTCTTATTATTTTCATTTCAGTAATAATAGGTTCCACTAAGACAATACTGCCTGAATATAAGGCATATTTTCACTCTCCAAGTTAAAGTGTTTAATAGCTAGAAAATTCATCATCATAATTTCTTTCCAACACGAATCGAACAATACCAAATTTATGCCACATAACCTACACATTATTATTATCGGATTAATTGTTGGTCAAAGCTTGAACTTGGAAGTTAAAATTTTGCCTTTTTTTTTGAGAAAACGCAAGAGACTTTGCGTTTCATTTCATTGAACAGGAAGACATCAGGGGTACAACCTCCAGAAAGGAGGGACACATACGCACACACATACACACGACCGTCCTCACCAAGCGACTACAACTAGGTGAGGAGGTGCCCTCAACTACAGACACGCAACGACATTAGGCCTCGCCCAGCAGGGCAGCGTCACTGCCATTGCCAGACAGCTCCAGGGACGATTGCAGCTCCAGGACTGCCCAGGCCAACGTACCTCTCACCCATGTGCCTAGAGAGTCGGCGGGTGAAGGGCAGGGCTCAACAGGAACTGGTGTAGCAATCGTTGGGGGAGCGCCGGCGCTGGCATACATTGCGATCCGCTCCCTGTGTAGCAGTCTACGCTAGAGCGATGCATCACCAGCCTCCATCTGCCGCATCAAACTCCACTTGCAGCCAAAGCAGCACCTACAAGAGGGGAACGGCGCTGAGATGCCGCCGCTGCCCGGTCCGGGAGGCCGGACCTGGGATTTCTCCCGGTGCTCGAGGAGGAGATCTGGTCAGGGTCATGCCAACGCCTCCAAGGAGGTGACGGCACCCTCGGGCGTCGCCGTCGACAGCGCAGGCCGTCGCCGCGCGGGGATTTCGCCCCGACCCATGAACAAGGACCTCAGATGCAATGGCAGACCGGACTTGGAGAAGAACGTCGGAGAAGACCAGCACACATGGAGGGATGCCTAGGAACGTTGTAGTCGCAGGAGGAGCACCGACCGGCGCAGTGCCAGCAGGCCGGCCACCGCCGGGAGCGCGACGAGCAGGCGACAGCAGCCACCTGCACCGCGCCGCCGCCGTGCCGGCCCGCAGCTACCGCTGCCAGGAACCGCCGGGGCACAGCAAAGCAGCAGCCGTCAAGGACCGCCGCGCGCGTGCTCACCCGCCCAGCGGCTACCACCGGCAGCGGCCGGAGGGGTGGAAGGAGGGGGACGGGTGGGTTGGGGCAGAAACGCGCAGCCCCGATCTGGGTGCCCTCATCTCTGCCGCTCGCAGCAGCGGCCGGCCGCCGCCACAGCAGCGCCACCGCGCACGCGTTCCACACCATCACGGCCTCCCTTGAGCGCAGACAACCGCCCGCCTCGCCACCGCGCGCTCCCGCCGCTCCAGCGCACAAACAGCAGCGCGCGAGCTCACGGACGAGGGCCCCGCCGCCGCCGTCCAACGGCGAGGGCTTCGCCCGCCGGTTATCCTCCGGCGACGGCCAGGGGAGGAGGGGAGTTTGAGGTGGCAGCTAGGGTTTCGCCACCCGAGTCACCCCCTGGGAGCGACTCGGGGGCCGGGAGCCAAAACTGTCGCTTCTTGCCGTATTTTCTGAACGAAGGGAATACCTATTTATGAGACTAATTATCATTTAATACAACCAACATGCAGATATAGATAAAGGAGATGAGCAAGTTAAGGCAGATGCTATGCGGATTGGTCAGTACAGAGATGGGGAGTTCCCCACAGACAGCAGAGAGCTTGCAAAACGTTTATTTTATACTGTTTACATGGGAACAGAAAATAGGTAATCTTTGGCTTAAGGATTCAGTTCTTTTCAGTGTACCCTTCTCTAGAGTATCGTTCTTTCCATTTGATATGCATCAATACATTCTCTTCGTAAATTGATTAACTTGATAATGATGATATGTACTGTGTTTTCTCTCAAGCCCTGCTTGGCTCGTATCATTTGTATTGTATCTCATGGAACTGAAACCAGCATTTCGGACATCCTTGGCACAATATTGTATACTCTGACTTCAGTTCCATGAGAGTACTAATGAAATTTGCATTGCTTGACTGTTGGAGAGTCATCTCATGGAACTGAAGTTGGCATTGATCTCTGAAACAAGAACAATACAGTTTACTACCGAAATGGCTACCAGAATTTCACAAGGCATTGGACTTCTTCACATATGCCACTGATTGTTTCTTCTTTGATTTATATCTTTACTATTTCTCAATTTTCTTCACAAATGAGTGTAAATTATGCTTTGCATATACTTTGCTTCCCCACACAGTATGTTTTTGTTTTCCCTTATTCACAGTATTGTTTGTCCACAGTTCTGAAGATACCAGATCACGCGCCAAAAGGCTGGCGGAAGAGATTGGTTCATTCCACTTTGATGTACCTATTGACAGTGTAGTGTCTGCATTTCTTTCTTTGTTTGAAAGATTAACTGGCAAGCGACCACGCTACAAGGTATTTTGATACTATGACATTCTAATCTACTAAAGAAATTGCTTAAATGGATTCTGTGAATATATATTATTTATTCGCAATATTTGTTTATCCGCATTTCACAACATTTTGTTTTTGCGGCCAACAAAGAATGTTGAACTGAAGCTTTTGTCCTATATCCTTAGTGGTGGGTAAATGTTACCTAGTTGGATGCAATATTTGTGAAATACAAAATATCCCAAACTTAAGTATTCATCCATTCTGAAATAGTGAAATATATAAGCAGAGAAACATTTCTTTGTAAATATGGAAGTAGAAACGGAAAGAAGCCAAGAACAAGTGCTATGTGACATACAATTCTGAAATCCCATTTTCTAGTTTGAGAAACCAAATGTATTAGATAACCTACAAAGCAAGAACTAATTCACAAAGTGGCTAGGAACAGTGACATGCTTGCATTTGGTTCCTTGACATGCTGGAAGCTGCCGAGGCAAATTCTGATGATCACATATGTATGCTAATATAATTCAGGTTGACGGGGGATCACATACTGAGAATCTGGGATTGCAAAATATTCAAGCTCGAATCAGGATGGTGCTGGCCTTTATGATGGCTTCTCTAATGCCATGGGTTCATAACAAGTCTGGGTTCTATCTTGTTCTTGGAAGCTCAAATGTGGATGAAGGATTGCGTGGTTACTTGACGAAAGTAAGTTAAAAGTTTAACACAAGTCTGCTCTCTTTTAGATATAATGTTCTCACTCATGTCGGCCCTAGGAAACCATGTATATATTTTCCTTCACGGATCCTTCATTGCAATCAGCACTTGTTGGAACTCTTTGATAGTCCGTGATGGCAACTAATGAGTAACGACAATAACTATTGCTTTGTTTGTTTAGTATGACTGCAGTTCAGCTGATATAAACCCCATTGGAAGTGTAAGTAAGCAAGACCTTAGGGCTTTCCTACGATGGGCAGCAGTTCATCTTCAGTATTCTTCATTGGCTGAGGTTGAAGCTGCACCTCCTACTGCAGAGCTTGAGCCAATCCGCACAGATTATAGCCAGGTGACCAAATGTCCAAATAATTCTATTCATTTCCATTTTGGCTCTAGTTTGCTGACGGGAACTTGGTGTTCCCGGTGCTTTTGACCCTGCTCCTTTGCCTTATAGCTTAAAATATATGTAGATTCTGATTCTGTCTTGCGATTGGTAACAGAACATTGTTTAGCTCACTTGTTACGTTGCACTCAAAATATTTCATTAGCATATTGTCCATTCAAGTTTTAGTTATACTTGTGCATAAGGTTGTCTTAGCTAGCTGCTATCAACAAAAATTATGGTAGGTATCTGTACTCAAGTATGCTCATTCGACCCTATTTCCATTTGTGTAGTTGGATGAAGTGGACATGGGGATGACATACGAGGAGTTATCGATATATGGGAGATTAAGGAAAATATTCCGATGCGGTCCTGTTTCGATGTTTCAGGTTGGTCTACAGTTGACTTGATTATTTTGTTTCCTAACCGAAAATTAGAATTCAAGATATCCTTTTGCAGCACACTTAAAATGTCTGTATGATGTCGAGCTTTTGCATCCTTTTGTTTCTAGTTACTGTTACATGAATTATGTCTGCATTGTTAAGGAGTTCCCTTTAGGGGGGGGGGGGGTCCTTTTTTTATGATTTTTCGTGGATTGCAGTACAGTTTCTTTCGGTTAAACGATACTTAAAAGGGGATGGCTGCACAGAGTTTGATATTTTACTCGCCTGCATCGTTTTCACCTCTCCTCTCACTATTAGGGTGGATAGTAGATGGTAGAAAAGTTCTTTTGTGAAGTAAAAAGACTGACACTTCCACAAACTTTTTTTTATACTTGAATAATAAAACTTAGCAATAGACATCAAAAGTCAATCTATGTAATAACAAGACTGGGAACATCTGTTGTTGTTTCTTTGGTGTATATATGTGAGAATTTTTCATGACTTTTATGGGGTTTATTTTTGAAGTTAGGAGTACCGTGAGCACCCAATACTTTCTCTTAATGTGTTATGTATTGGACTGAATTTGTGCAGTATGCTAGATTATGCTACTTTCCATCTACACAAGAAGTTTCAGATTTTTTAAATTATTTTTAATGGTGCCGCCGTGTGTTTTCTATTGTGTTTAGTAGTGTTCCTATTTCAGTAGTCTTACTATTGCAATGATGTTGCTGAAAAAATGTTGGATTGGATATAGGAAATAACTGCTCCCTCTGATCCATATTAATTATCACTGATTTAGTACCTCCGATCCATATTAATTGTCACTGATTTAGTACAAATCGGAGGAGTAGTTTATCTTAAAATTGTCAGTGAAATTATTGAATTTATTTTCATCAGTGCAAATATGCTTCCAAGTATTAAATGCTAACACATCTTGCTACAGAACCTCTGCCACAGGTGGTGTGGGCGACTATCCCCCTCAGAAGTGGCCGATAAAGTGAAGCACTTCTTCAAGTACTATGCCATAAACCGGCACAAGATGACGGTCTTGACACCATCCTATCACGCTGAGGTGCTCGCTTGTTTCGGTGTGTAGGTATAAGATCTGCCCCCACCTTACGTTGTTATAACATTAGTCTACTTTTTTTTGCAGAGCTATTCACCAGAGGATAACAGGTTCGATCTCCGGCAGTTCCTATACAACTCGACATGGCCGTACCAGTTTCGCAAGATTGATCAACTTGTACAAGATATCGACAAAGATGGCAAATGGGTGGAAGATCGTCGCGCAGACTCGCAGCTGAGACAACGCGGAGCCGCTAGGCCTGCCCAGGGAGGTGGAATGGGAGTCGTGGCCGCGGGATCTGCCAATCCCGGTGTTGGGCTGTAAGAAATAGGGCATGCCGACGGTTGGATGAAGTAGGTCACGCAAGGTAAATTTTTTTTTGACCATTATCTCAGTGAAGCTTTTTTAGTCGGTTATTATGGCCATGTCCTCGATGTAAACTTGATGTTTGGTGGTGACCTCGGGTGTCTTGTTGGTGCTGATGGGTACTTTGGCTTTGCAGGACTTTAGTGGCGCAGGTTGGATACATTGGGAAACCAGCCTAGTACATAGAATAATTGTCAAGGTGCAAACACAAGAGTTCCTCAAGGCATGTGCGATAGATGTTGATTTTTTCTTTTTAAATTTCTTCTCCCTGCCATCCCCGTTTCCTTTTTAATTGCTACGACTTCAGTCAACCAAAATCATGTTGGTTGCACAGTTCAAGTTAACAATGCCAAATGCAGCCACAACTAGACAGTAAGTTCCGTGAGATCTTAATTGTACAAGCAGTTTGCTGGCTACACATTTCGGAATCTAGAAAACCAAGGCGAAGCCGAAAGCAAGCGATGGCTTGTGGGCGGCACGAACCGTACAGCCGAAGAAATCGCTGGGCAAACATGAGAGGAACTGGCAGCTAGTAGGATGCAGCAAATGCTAGTAATGGAAGAAGGCACCAGGTAAAAAAGGGCCGAGCAAATCAGGGAGCAGAGTGGGATGCCTGCAAGGGAGATTCTTGAATACCCCTGTTGGCAAAATGCTTCCATCTCTGGAGGCGACCCACACCAAGTTAAGTGCAAGCCTAGGGATTCCCATCTCTGGCATCCCCCTTTTTGGTCATGTTGAGAGGATAAGGCTGGTAGCCTGGTAATGGGGAGAAGGCTAGCTACCTTCTGGAATGACGTCTAGATATGCGATCATAGCGTTGCAGATGCCTTCCATAGGCAGGCTCTTCGTCCACCATTCCAGGATGTGATCCTGATAAGCTGATATGGCTCGAAATGGACAGTCCACCAGCAAGGGCAGGTTATATGGCGCAGAGTTGTGCGAGATCCCTCTGGTGTAAGGAGACACTTTATATTCTTTTCACGGGCACTCCCATCCTGGCAGCCTTCTAGCTAGTGACATAGAGAAGCCAAAATATTTTTTTCCTGTGTTCCGAATGAATGTCTCCGTCGTCATTCATCATAATAACGAAGGACAAGTCTTTTGTGCTTGTTTCTGAAAGCAATGTGTTGGATACATTTTCTTTTTCTGAAAGGCGACGTGGTGGATACATCATAGTACATGGAATGGAAGTTGATGTTTCTGAAGGGGACAGTGTTTCCTGGGGAGACCCAAACCAGATGGAGGATGGCCGGGATCGCCCAGCCATGCATATCGCATCCAGACAGGCCTTGCTACCGTGACACCGTGTACACAACTGTAACAACCAGCGCAACGAAATGGCCATGGATCCGCTCTGACGGCGACGCATGCAATGACTGGCTTTGGTTTGTTTGCCCATTTGTAGGAACTGCCTTGCTGAGTGTGTCCGGCCATGGAACTGCCGCGATTCCGTTTCGTCGGAGGCGTAAAAGAAGGCAACCGGGTGCAGAACAAACTTTACGCCCGCTGTACTAGTGTTTGGTCCTCCCAGATGTTGGGACGACTCTGACGCTGCCAGAAGCAGGCAGCGGGGACAACCCAGCCATTTCATCCTTCTTATATTTATTTTTTCGACGAAATATGACTGCTGGCCTGGCCACGCTAGTCACGCGTGCGGTGCGGTGTGCCAACCATTTCATCCATCGACCGATCATTACGCACCACCGACTTTTCAATTCGATTCGAATCGGAATCGGAACGTGTGTGGGTGATTTGATTTGGCTGGAGACAGCGTGTGGTGCGATCCGCTGTTGCAATCTTGTCACCATCGTGCGAGGCGAGATGTAGGCCAATAATTCCTTAATTTTGTGTCGCCTGCTCGCTCACCCAATCACTGGACTGTCAGCAGTCACACTCCCCACATTAATTAAGGACGCCCACATGTCATTGCCCCAATATTACTGTACTCCAAGTTTCAAAGAAATTCATTTTTTCCTATGGGAACATTTACGTGATCTTTACCTACGTATCTCTACGGTTTCCTTAGTACAAAAAAAATACAGTACTACGGTGATTTGTGTTGTACGCAGACAAGACAAGATTCTGACCCAAATACAACAAGAAAGTAGGTCTATTTTGATTTATGTATGCACAGTATATATACTTTTATTTTGGTACGTATGAAAAATGTATATTGATGTAGTACCTTTTTATGATAAATAAAGCGGCTCATTTTTCGTAGTCAATGCTCCCTTTTTTTTTCTTTGGCCAAGTCGACAATGCTCAAGGACCAGAGAATTGTACTGCAAACATGCGCATCCGATGCATCTAGACAGTTTTGCCGCCATGTGTACATAATTTATGAATACTCTCTGACATGACATGAACCGCGACGCTTGTAATGGCGTCTCGTTTACAAGCGTGACCACGACAGTGACATCCTTCCTCCTAGTTGTTCCCTACAAACTTGGATTACCAGCTGGTCCTTTTGCTACGGCCACTCTGCTCTCTGATAGAAAAACACAAAGTAATTTCCTTTTTCTTTTCACTTTGTTCTTCCAAAATGATACTATTTCTGACTTTTTTCTTTCGAAGAAAGGGATTTCTCCCACGATTTCATTAACGAGACCATGAAGCTGATCATGGTCACCTCACCCTGCAAGCTGACAAGCACCAAGTAGTACTTGTGCACCACTTATCTGCTTCCCTGTCCACAACGAGAGCTAAAAAAGTACTCCACTAAATAAGAAGTGTGGGCAATCCACACCGGTGGCCTGGAGTAATTAAGCAAAGGTTGCAATTTTTTTAGTGCCGAATTGGATTAGTTCGGAAAGAATCCTTGCGATTACGTCTACCCTTCCCCTTCTGCATTTTGTATTGTGAAACTCGGTCCCTGATCGTGTCTCGGGTCATAGATATATTCACAACGAGAAAACTAACAGTGAAAAGTAGAGACTTTTTTGGCCAGTTGGAGGGAGCTATAAAAAAAATCTCAGCGCAGCGAACACAGAGCACTACGGCAGCGCGCACCGTGAGCTCTCACCATCACCCAAAGAATCCTCTCCTCCTTGGCTCCGTCCCACACTTGGCCGTCCACGGAATCTCCGGCCATGGCCGCGCTGCAGAGCCCGCTGCTCGGCGGCGCCGGCGTGTCGCCGGACGCGAGCTCTCCGCGCCGCAGGGTCCGCCGTCCGTGCGCCGCGCTGGGCATCGCCGTGGCGCTGCTCGCCCTGGCCGGCGTCCTGCTCCTGCTCCTGGGCTCCGGCGTCCAGCCCGGTCGGGGCTCGAGGGCGTCCGTAGGCGCAGCGCAGGAGAGCCGGCACGAGGTGGAGTCCGGCGCGGCCGCGGTGGCCGCGGACGACGGGCGGTGCTCAGAGGTGGGCGCCGCGGCGCTGCGGGCCGGCGGGCACGCCGTGGACGCGGCCGTGGCGGCAGCGCTGTGCCTCGGCGTGGTGCACCCGATGTCGAGCGGCCTGGGCGGCGGCGCGTTCATCGTGGTGAGGGACGCGGCCTCCGGCGACGCCGTCGCCTTCGACGCCCGCGAGACGGCGCCGGCAGCGGCCACGCCGGTACGTTTACTCCATACTATACGTTGCAATCATTCGTGAGAGCGGCACGACAGCGAAAAGCGAGATTTTTTCGCCCATGCGTTCGTTAGCTCGCTCGTTCCGCTCGTGCGTATGGCCCGTGGGTCCCTTTGCCAGCCGCTATGGTTTGCGCGGGAGGTCGCTGTCTGGTGGGCCCGTCGTGCTCGCGCTTGAGGTCACTGTACGGTGGGCCTCGCATGCTTACGAAATAGGAACCGACCTGTGTCATCTAGCTCGTGCTCTTGATTATACCAATGGAGTGGTAGCTCAATGAATATGACATGCAATATGCATCTATAGATTTTATTTGTTATGACGACAAGGACTATGCATCTACTAGTACTATGTCGAAGCAAAGAATGTAATATAGGTTTAGTTGCAGCGAAAATGCCAAATGAAGACCGAGTTTGATGGAGGCCTTAATCAATTTAAAAAGACGAATGTACGATGTGTGTGTAAATTTTAAGGTTGAAATGTGTTAAAATGAGAGCTACACAAAGAAGACGAATATGTGGCTTTTTAACATATTTAATGTTCATCTTCAAAGTCCACAATTTGTGTTTTTATTGCTGCTCACAATTCAAGGTATTTCATCCTGAAATTTTACACACATACACATTACATCTTTAAATACATGTGCATTTTTCAGAGTTTTTTGAAAATGAAAATTTGGATTTTTTTTCTAAATTAAGGCCTTCATGGAGCTCGGTCTTCAAAATTCGCTACTCTAGTTACAGCGATAATAATAACAATAATAATAATAATAATAATAATTTCATAAGGATGGCAAAGCATTTACAGATTTACTCGTCACACTCATCCTAGCTACCCAGTTTGTACGACTAAATTTGGCTTTAATTAGGCCATCCCCTTAGCTGTAGTGGGTGTAGTAGTGCTTGGCCTATCCAGTTGACAATATTTTCATATCTGTTTTTGGCTGAGATCTTAGAATCATCTCCTGCTCCACGAGTGACAGATCATAAAAATGGTATATTATGGCTTATGGGGTATCTTATCTCTAACGGTAAACAAATCAAGAGAAGCCTTTGCGATCTGCAACCCACCTACCCTACCGCAAAAGAAAGAGAAAAGAAATTCACAATGTGTAGCATGCCATGTGATGAACTGCAAAAATTTCTTACATTGTTGTAAAAAGGGAGTACTTCACAACCATTAAGATCTGGATTACTATTTTGCAAAAAGAAGGTTTTGCATTTGATTTAGCTAGTACAATGATTTAGATTAATTAGGCATTCTCCTTAGCTTAGCTCACCCAGTTGACAACATTTTCATCTCTGTTTTTGGCTGAGATTCTCCCCGGCGATAGTCCTTAGAGCCACACGGATCAATACAAATGGTACTCCGCATCTTATCCGTAACAGTAAACAAATC